ATTGTTGTCCATGTCTAATTTTTGTAAATTAAAAGATTGTGCACTTAGACTAATGTCTATATTTCAGAAGAATATTATCCGCACTGTTAAATCCTTGGCCAACTCTAATTGTAAACATGTTTTTTTTTTGGATGAGAATTGTAAACATGTGTATCCCTGTTATTAAGGTAATTAAACTTAGGTCCTTTCTCTTTACATTGTATAATATCAAATTTCGCATCTTCATCATACTCATAATAAAATGTTATATGCAGTGAAATCTCATGTATTGAGCTCTATTGTAAGTTTGCAACATTACTAATGTGTTATGTATATAAAGTTAAAACATTGGGTCCAGTATCCATATGGAATCAAGAAACTTTTACACATCGCTTGTATCCACATATGTTCAAAAATTGACGTGGAAAATGATTTCTAGCCGATATAAGAAATGTTTTTTTGTACTTGAGTTAGTTTGCAACTTTATACTAAGAGATGACTTGTTTTTTGATAAGACTTTCACTATATTTGGCACGACGAGCCGCAACTAGAGTCTGTCTAAATTGTGGCTATTGCCTGTACAGAAACTATTGTTTGAAGTTGAACTATAAAGTGCTGAGTCTGAACTGTTGGCTAAATGATGTAGATCCGTTTGGTAAAAAGAGTTGCAAATTGAATGAATGATGTGAAATTACATTAAAAGACATATAATTAATTATTGCGACATTTGAGTTCAACACAATTTCTTTTGTAAATAATACTCCGCATGAGCAATAATAAACTATCAAAAATAACTCAAAAGGTTTGATAACAATCTCAACAAAAGAATTATTATTAAAAATTTAAAACCAGGAATAAAGAACACTACGTCACTACTAGAAAATTTTCAAGTTCCTGTTTCTCTATTTTAGCAAGATGACATCTCACGTACGAGTCACTACTTTAAATCTTTAATAAGCTACTAATCTGGTTCCATTTGAGTTATCTAAACTTCACCATCAGAAATTAATAAAGACTTCCATTGTTCGATAGGAAGAAAAAGGAATTAAAGTTATTAAACACAAGCTATATTGAAATAAACACATCTCTAGTAACATTTGCCTTCAACCCATTATATTCAACTTAAGCTTAATTCAGCTATGTATCCCTACTTTTAGTTTAATTAACTGGATTTGATCAGCTATGTATCCCTACATTTAGTTTAATTAACTGGATTTGATCAGCTATGTATCCCTACTTTTAGTTTAATTAACTAGATTTGATATCTGATGCTCACGGGTATAAGGTCTACCATTATTGAGCCGATTTAATCACAGTGATTTAAAACCCATCAAAAGGCCTTGTCAGATCAGGGCGTGAGGGGCCCTTGGGCCTTGAAGTTGGGGATTCAACTTTTTGGATGGATTAGCTAAATTTGAAAAAAAAAAACAAATGCCCAAGGATTGAAGTGACATGCCAAACATAGCATCAATACTTCTAAGCTTTAAAGAGACCTACTTACTCCCTTCGTAGGATCAGATATGTAGTTTGAAGGAACATATATATGTACATTGCATGAAACTCATTGTACAAAGTAATAAATAAATCAGAATTTATTATATCACCAAATTGGGCAATTACGTTAACTGAATTATCATCGATTCATCATATTATAAAAACAGCTGCAACTACAATCATAATGTTTCAAAAGCGTTTCATAAGTAAGGAACTACTTTAAAGCTAAGTAAGGATTAATTAAGGTGCATGACCGATAACATTTTTTTTTTCGTTGCATGACCGATAACATTTTTTTTATCGTTGCATGACCGATAACATAAATAGCAAGAATAAACGAAAGATATTTTCACCATTTTATTTTGATAGGGTCGCAAAATTGATAAACACAACACATTTCTTAAAAATCTTTAAAAGTAGAAGAAAGATTGACAACCTGAACCTATATGAAAAAAAATTAGTTGTTGATTAGTACACATGAGAAGAAGATAGTTTGACGTGTGAAAATATGCTTCCCGTTCCATAACATTCTTCTCACTTTCCTTTTTGAACTGTACCAAAAAATTCTTCTCACTTATCATATATTTTTGGACAATTTGTGTGGTTCACATTCATTTTACCTTTTTCTTTCACAATCACAATTATACATCTCCACTTTATTCTACTTTCTTAATCTATGTGTCAAAAATCAAACTGGGAAGAATTTTCTGGGAAGAAGGAAGTATCAAACATTCCAACGCCGGCCGTAGCAAACTAGCAATGGTAACATATCGAGACGAACGTACTTGTCAATGAAGTACCCGGCCAATTCCTCTAGGGCACATAACTCACCAGAAGATTGTGAAATTGCACGCCCAACTCAACAATCAACATGCATTAACAACCAGCATCAACCTTCTTCAAATGATCAAATTTCGCTCATAGCTCCGCGACCCATAAAAAATCATCTAGGCATGACAATGGATCGGGGCGTGCGAGATACTAGACCGGCCCTAAGAAATGGAGAACCTTGTGCAACAAAATAATATGAGCCCCTTTAATTTAATACAAGAAAAAATTAATGACATATGTCATGATACATTTATTAATTAATAAAATTAACAAAATAGTCAAAATAAAACTATACAGTAACATAATATAATTAAATTAAAAGAGGCATTTGTTTAGCATATTTAGATGCAAGATTGTTGACCAAGCTTTCAATGTCAATTATTGGGTTATTTTAATAATCTCAATTGAATATTAAGACAACTAAGACTCTAGAATAAATAAAAATAAAGTAAAAGTTGTGTGTTAATAGGAATGACAAATGAATTGATTAAAAAAAGTATCAAAGTTTTGGGACACTCAAAAAAAGAAAAAAATACAAAATTATACTCCGTAAAAGATAAATGAAGAATTATTAATATCTTTGGGCCTTTTATTTTAATGGGTCCTATGAGAGTGAAGACCTTACACTCCCTCAGGGCCGCCTCTATCAGATAGTGCAAGACGTAGACTTGCCCCGTGACTTAATTGTCTTAATTAGGTGGACCTGTCCCACCCCATGACCCACACAAATCATTTTTAAAAGGATGTATACTTTATATATTGAGCGGGTCAAACGGGGTCAAGGCGACACGGGTCAATATTAATACCGCCACGCCCTAATGTGTGCACAGGGGCGGGCCAGACCTGCCCAATTTACAAGACGAGGCTGGTCTATCTTGGGTTAGAGCGGGTCTCTATAGACCATTTTTTTACATTTCTACTTTCACCGGGGCACCATGTCGAATTCATTGTGTCCCTGAATACGAGAAACAAATAGCTGATCACAAGTAGAGTTCGTTTGGTGACCTTAGTTTCCAGCTAATCAGCTTTGTCAGACAACTTTTTCACTAAACACATAATTCTTTATTTCACGCATTGAATAGTGTAATAATCAAATTTTGTAAAGTTGAAATTACTTTTAAGAATAAATAATTGGCTAGTCTCTTCCAATTTTTTTTTGGCTAAAGTCACTTTAAAAGGCTAATTTAGCTATTTATTCTATTAGTAAAATATATTTTGAATTAATTTTTTCATAAATGAATAGAATTAATGGATTAAGTCGCTTTAAGGAGAACTAAATTTCGAAGGAGTTGGCCGATTCAACAAGAGTTGTGCTATATAGGTACCCCAGTTTGAGGTACTCCATATTTACCACACACTTTGTGTGATCCAAATGAGGCTACATTGAAATGAGTTGCCCCACTTAAATGTATTACCCCGTTTGAAATTTTGAACCACACAATAAGGCGAGATAAAAATGGGTACCCAAATGGGGTATATAACATTTTTGATTGAAAAATGCTCAAGGTACATATGGTGTACACTATGTGTACACCATATAAAAGCCCCAAAAAATCTCATTTCCCCTCTTCCCCTTCTATCTTCCTTCTCTCTTTCCTCTTTACCCAACCCATTCTAAAATCTAAAAAAAAAGATATCATCTTCTCTTCTTCATCTTCATCTTTCCTTCTTCATCCTCTTTTTCTCTACCTTTTTATATCAATTTGTTTTCATTATTGGCACAAAATCAATTTATTTAAATTATTTCATCTATTTTTATTATTTTTCTATTTTTTCCAAATTACATGTAAATTGGTCACACGTACAACTACATTATTCATTTGGATATATATAGACAATTAATTTTTTTGCTCACCGAGACAATTAAAATTGATTACACCGACAACTAAAGTTGATCACACTGACAACTATTGTCTATGTGAATATGTGATAAATATTGTTTGTGCACATAAACAAACAATTGCCTGTGCAACAGGAAAATATTGTTTATGCACATTGGCATTGCACAAATATAAATTGATTTGCAAGCTGGTGTCAGTGTCAAGTGACTGTCAATGTATTTTTTACATGAAATGTTTACAACGCGTATCGTATTCCTAGCATTTCTGTTTATTGATTCAAGAAATGTTTAGAGCAACTCCAATGCAATGTGTGCATTGGAGATGATGTGGCAATCAAATGGAAAGAATCCATTTAAAATGAGAGGGTTCATTCAAATAGGTTTCCAATGCTAAACAAATTGCAAGTGCAAAACACATGAGAAGCAGCTTGTAGGAGAGAGAGAGGGTGAGACCCAAGGTCCCAATATAGACCTCCGACCTTGGTCATTGCCACCTAGGATAAACCTCATTTTTTTGGTTTTGCATTGGAGAGCATATTGGGTCCATTGGGTGAGGTGGATACATTTTTTTTGGCAATCCACCTCCCCATTGGAGATGCTCTTAGAGCAACTCCAATGCAAGGGTGTGGTCTCTTACACACCCTTACGCATGAGTTCCATTTTTTATCTCACAATTTTTATGTGTAGGACTCATGTATCTCCTAATTTATTTGCATTTTCATTTTTTTGTATCACTTTTAACTCATTTTTCGTCAACTTTTCCTCCTCGAATCCCGCGTAAGGTTCATATATGAACCTTGTCATATACCTTGATCCATTTTTATCTCTCATCTTTTTCATTTTTTCCTACACACCACTTCATCCAAATATTTATTGTGTGTATCTCTCCTACTCTTATGCTATATCAGCTGCAATGCCTCATAGAATAGCCTCTCCAGGCTACCGCGGCGGGCTCTCTGAAACCAGTCCCTCTTGTTCTTGCTTGAGAGTTGAGACTTGAGATTCATCCTGTCATACAATTCCTCCGCACCTTTTCTGTGCTTCTTCTCTTCCTGCTCGCCAAATAAATTTCTACAGTTACCAGTTACTACAACGTAGAAAGATTGCATGATTTCCGCAAGAGTATAAACTTCCCCTCTCCCTATGGCCTCCTATTCGACTTTCTTCCACCCACATTCAGGTATTTCATTTCCTAAGCTCCATGCTTTTTTCAATTTATCTTTATTTGATTCATTTACTTCATTTTTGGCATCAATCTTGTTCAAAAAGTAACCATATAAGTATCACTCTCTTCCCCCACTTTGATGTGGCCTCCTTTTTCTTTTTCTTTTTGCTTCAGACACTTGTGCCTTTTGTTTTTTTGTTTGGGAGAAGAAGAAGAAGAAAGGAAAAAAGAATATGAAGAGTGGTTAAGATGATTTTTTTGGAATAAAATAGAGGACTGAAATACTGATTATAAACTGGCGAAAATCGTCAAATCAAAATTTTAAGGGGTGGAAAATGTAATTAAGCCGAATTTTAAAGTAATAATCCCCCAATTCCACGTGAATTTGCGATGCGTTTGCATTTCACGTTCACCTCGTGACTTACTCCGAGCATTTCTTAAACCCATCAGTCGTCTCCAGGGCAGAAGAAAAATCCTATCTTTGACTCACTGGTATCGTCTTTACTCTTTCAGTCTCGGTACATTTCAAAGCCAGAAGTTCTGTTATATTCAGCATATCCTAAACGGACCTATACGCATCAACAGGTTTAAACTCATTAATTATTATTACTGCTAGTGATTTATCTGTATGTTCTTGCGTTTTTCTTCTCAATTACAGTCCTTTTCTGGCGCATTCAGATGGGATGTGTGTTTGAGTATTGATTAATTAGTGTGACCTCATGAAATGGACCACAAGTGATGATAAAGATTTGTAAAACCCTTATTTGCTGTTGTTTTTAGGAGGGTAGCTCACTATCAAATGGTCTTACATTTGTTATTTTATATTTAGCCTATTCATGGAATGATCCAACATTTACTTTTTTGGTCAATGTAGTTCTTTCAACCCCCTTAATATGCAGTAATCTGATCAATTTCACAAATAAAGATGATTGAATGAACTCAATTTTCCTAAAACAGACAACGCTCGTACCAAGGACTCAATAGAATTACTACCTCTGTGCCCCTAATATTTTGACGGAAGGAAGTAGTGTGGTTTTTAAGAAAAGTAAAATTATGTGTTTGATAATGAGTTGATAAAGTGGAAATAAAGTAATAATGAATTAGAGCCACACAAATGTTACCAAATATGATACAGGACAATAATAGGGGGACATCCAAAAATAGAAAAATGGGACAATTATATGGGGACCGAGGGAGTATATCAAATGGCCCTTTTTCCTTAGGTGTAAGAAAATAATGGGTAACATTGTGCATGCAAAACTCTTCACCTTTTAGTGGTACTTTTCCAAGACTTTGGCATTACATTTATTAATTTGATTGAAAGCTTTAGACAACCCAATTTGGCCAATAGATAGATTTAAAGAACTTATAAGCAAGTATGGCGTTACGCCTGCTTTTTCATGTGAGAATAACTTACTTTCCTCCCACCGTTGGATCAGATATGGACGATGCATCCGGTTCATTTGCACAAACAGAAGATCAGTTCTACATTCTGTACTTAATCATTGGCACTTACTTTGGACCTGATCTCAAAGAAGAAAAGGCTAAGAAGTCTGCTTTGCGAAGGATGTTTGAAGCCTGTCCCCCATATACTTCTAACCAATTAGCTGGCACATGCATCCGGACTTCTGAAGTAGAGAGGCTTTATTATTACATCCTCAGAGAGGCAGATCAGTCTGTCATTCTGCCACTACCTTTATTTTACCAGTTCTTTCATGGAATTCATCTTACTCCGATACAAGGCTTTGCTGCATCTTACCCTAAGTTCAGCGAGCTTTTCCCTCCTGGCTTACATCACCTTGTACGCGCTTACAATGGGTATCATGTTATTGAAAACATTGTATTTGTTAATGACCCTGATGTAAGCTACATCACTCCCAAGTGTTTGGAAAGGTACAAAAAGCTGACAGGTCTACAAAATTTTCTCTTGGATGGAGGTCTGTCTGGGCCAGAAGTTCTTCCCCTGCCTGCCCATAATGGATCACTTACAGGTACACCGTATGATAGTAACGGGCAATTTGCTAGAAATTCCTTGGACGGTCACTTAAATGGTCCAAGTCCTTTAACATGCCCTTCTAATGGTCTTTCACCATCAAAGACCACTTCTGTGGAGGCTATGCTTGTCCTTCCAATGCACCCTTCTGCGGAAGCGTTAAGTGACATTGTCGCTGCCAACAAAAGGGGGTATGCAATAACTGGAAGTGCAGCAAGTGGGAAAATAGGGCCAGTTTTAGGACTACTGGATATTGGAGATTGTGAGGATGCTTACTTGTTTCGTATATCACTTCCTGGAGTAACAAGAGATGAAAGTAAGTTATCATTTTATCTGATTTAGAGCCAATAACTTGATAGTTGATATTGCATGCGAGGTAGTTTGAACTTTGAATTTGTTGATCTGTTGGCAATAGTTATTCCTAGTTTAAGGGTTTTGTGTATTTAGGGATGCCCTTTTCCTAGAACCTTTTGTTTATTTTTTATCTTGCAAAACTAGGGAAGATTACAAATAAAGAAGAGGATGTTTTAAGCAATTGAAGTAAAAATGAAGAAACAAAGTTGCAGAAAGAAGAAGAATAGAGCAAAAATGAAGATTAACTTGCTCAATGACCTAGTTCTGGCCAACTCTAAAGGTCCCAAATTTCACTATTCTCTCAATACCTCCTACCTTATAGAAAGGTCTTATTTATTATCCACCACAATATGTAAAAAAGGTAAAATGTAATCAATAATAAACTATTCTCGGTATCATGCTAATCATGATCTATTGCTAGAATTTTCCATATAAGCAAATTGGATTTAGTTTGATCCTTTCATTGATTCTCTTATTGCTTTCCTTCTGCAGAGGTTAGAAATTATGTCTATTTATCTCTAAACTTAGGAAGTGTTTGTGTTTGCGTGTACTTTTAAGAATTGGTTAATTGTAGAGATTATATGGAAAGAGATTTTAATAGTAAAAATTGATAGTGTTTGAGAAAAGTGGTATTGAAAAAGTAAAAGTTAAAGTGTTTGGTAAAAACAGTACTTTTTATGTAATTGAAAAAGTGATAAATGATTTAACATTTTAAAGCACTCCACCTGTTTCCTGTTTTTAGATTTGAAGTGTTTAGTTTAAGCAGAATCAATTGTTTGAAAACACTATTTTAATTTTTTTAAAGCTAAATTGCACCTTCTTTAAGCAATGCAACACACTCCCTTAATATACCAATTGTCCATTACCATAGGTTGAGCTATATAACTCTTCTCATTGACTAAATGAGTTGTTCCTTTGTTTCGAGAAAGCCACATTGCGTGCATTTGCCTATTTTTCACATCACAATAGTTTCACTACCACTGTTCTCTTACTGGTTTTGGTGCAAAATAACTAAAACTGTAGGAGAGTTTAGCTGTGAAGTGGAGAATGATGGCACTGTGATAATAAAGGGAGTGACAACAGGCGGGGAAAAAACGGTTCACAGGTACTCTCAGATGTTTGAGATGCAAACTCAGAACCTTTGCCCATCCGGATATTTTTCTTTGTCTTTCAAGCTGCCAGGCCCCGTAAATCCTCAAAAGTTTTCTGGTACATTTGGTACCGATGCAATTCTTGAAGGAATTGTTATGAAAGCGGGACAGAACAAAGTGTAGCCAAATATAAATGCAAGTTACTAATGTAGCAACTAGCTAGGTATAGAGTACAGTATTAAGGAGTGCCTTTTAGAATCCTATATCAGATGATGCACTGGTATCAAATCATTTTACTTTTTTTTATGTGCTTTTAAGAATTTTATCTCTTCATTTTTGACTTCTTTGAAAAATGTTTGACCCTTGACTCCCGAAGCCAAAGGAATGTTGGCCCTAGAGGTCTACAACCTTAATGGAGGTTATTCCCATTTTAAAATGCACGCCAAACAGCCATTTTTGTCTTAGAGAGTAGGTTGCTTTAGATAGCATGTAATCTCAATCTCTAATCACATAACTAGGTGAAATGCTGTGTTCACTCTGGTTCATTGCTTGATTCTACTGCTTATTGACCATGGTCTTTTGCTAATTTAAGTCACTATGCATAAGGATGGATGCGGTTCTGACCGGTTCCTTAAAATTAGGACCTCAACAATCATAGGAACCACGGGATAGAGGTAGGCTTATGGTTCGGAACCGGAAGTTTTAAGTAGCGGTTTGATTTTTCGGGTATTGGGGAATCGGAATTCGGAACCGCTGCTTCGGGTTCAGAACCGTTTTGAATTAAAAATCTATATATAAATATTTTATACTGGAGTATTGCTTTATACTTTAGATATAATACTAACAAAGTAATGAGAGCGAGGTTTGAGTGGGATCATTTTAGCACTTTGAACAGATATTTATTTGCTCTAAAAGTTATTGATAGGATTAAAGTCTTAAGAAAATATGTGATATTCTAAGAGCCCCTCATTCATGCTACTCAAGTAAATTGGTGTTTTTTGTTAAATAATCTTCCCAAATTATTTCCATCACCCAATCATGATTCGAAAAATAATCTTCAACATCACGAACTTAATCCTCTAATAATCTAATGGATGAAGATGCGCCAAGTATAAATGTTATGCAATGCAACCTTTTTTGTCAATTTACTAAAATAGATTCAAAAGGCAAATGTGACTTCTTTTCAATTTTTCCAAAAATATGACTTACCATATCATTGATACCTTATTTAGGATTCCCTCAGTCCCATTTTATATGATACTTTTCCTATTTATTTGGTCAACACAAATCAATCTTCAAATCTTACTTTATATATCAAATTTTTATCAAATTTGATTCTGATTTTTTCGAATTTGTAAAGCTTTTAATGTAGTTTCTGAATATGTGATTTTTTTTTTCTAAAATTAATTTGAGTGCGGACAGAGATTCGTTTGCTTTATCATTGGTCAAACATCGTAAACCGTAAAGTGTCTTACAATTTGGTACAGAGGGAGTATTATTTATGTCCCGTTGAAAGGTTGTGCAAAATAGCACGTTTATTTAGACTATAATTACATATGATAATTCGAGTATATTTTAAATATTTGATGATTAAGTTATCATTTATGAGTATTTCTATGTCGTTTGTGTATATTAGGCATTTTTTATCCGCATCACCGGCATTGAACTTTATAAAAATGAAACTTTTTATTATGTATATACATATAAAATTATCAAAAAAACTATTTGTGTCCACCTTTATACCCACTTTTATACACACCATGTTTGTGCAAAGTTTTTTTTCGTCTGGGAATCCCGATCACACACAAAATATGTTTGTGCAAATTATTTTGTCTGTGAATCGGATTCACAGACAAAAAAGAAACTCTTCACAGACATGGTGGGTATAAAAGTGCGTACAAGAAGAATTTCTCTAAAATTAAATGTATACCAAATATGTATGAATACAGAAATGATGTTTGTACCCTCTTATATCCACTTTTGTACCCATCCATGTTTGTGAAGTATTTTTTTGTCTGTGAATCCCGATTCACAAACAATATTTTGCACAAACAAAATATTATCCAACCGCCTAGGCGCCTACAGCCTACTGGTCACTCATTCGAGTAACAGTCAACTACTACGTAGAGAAATACTTCCACCAAAGCTCTGCTTCGTAGGTGAATGCCCAGCTGCCCTCCATTCATTACATGTACTGATTTAATTGATTGAATTAGAGCCCGTTTGGTAGCACGGAAATCGGCTGTTTTGGCTGATTCTGCTGAAATTCCTGAAGTTCTGGCAACATAAAACTATAAAATATTATTTTAATGAATGAAGAATGATATTCAAAAGTAAAAGAATAATGTGAAGGAATTAAAAATGAAAGGTAAATGTTTTGTTTTTAAGAAAAACGTTAGAAAATATCATCAACAGAGATACATAGTAGATAGTATTTCCATAAATATTACTCCGTGTTAAATTAAAATTATAATTGTTTTTTAATCGAATTAAAATTATAATTTTAAAAATGGCTCGGAGTAATAAAATTTGAAAACTATAAATTTAACTATTGGGTTATTAATTCTATTAATTACTCCATATTATCATTGACAATTTTAATATCCTTGTCAGTTTATATATTGCTGCCAATTACTCCCTCCGTCCCATTTATATTGTCCCGTTTTACCTTTTCGGGAAGTCCCGCTTAAATTGTCTCATACCATATTTGGCAAAGTTTGTGTGGCTCTAAATCATTCTTACTTTTATTCTTACTTTATCAATTAATATCAACCACACAAACCCACTCTTCTTAATAACCGTGTCACCCTCTTCCGTCCCAATATAAATGGGACGGAGGTAGTACTTTCGAGTCACTTTCACCATGGTTGACATGTGGCAAAGTCAGGGTACATGGACGGTACAAAAAATATTTTTAGGAAAAAAGGAAAAAGGTGCAAATAAGCCCTCAAACTAACAAAAAAAGTGCAAACCACCCCTTATTTAGGAGGTTATGTCCGGCCGTCGTCATTTGGGAAGGTTCCCGGTGGAAATTTTTTATGAAAGTTTTTGAGCATCTTCTTCATTTAGTCTAGTTTACTCTTACCAAATTTCAGATACAAATTCAATTTGGAAGGCAGTCGAATGAATTTTTGAAGATAACAGCGCAGTTAAATAGCGCAATACATTTCAAAAAATCATTTGACTGCCTTTTCGGTTTAATTTTTAGCTGAAATTTGGTATGAGTAAACTAGACTTAATGAAGAAGATGCTCAAAACATTTCATCGAAAAGTTCCACTTGAAACCTATCCAAATGGCGACGGCTGAACAGAACCTCCTATATAAGAGGTGATTTGCATTTTTTTGTTAGTTCGATGGCTTATTTGCCATTTTCCCCTAGAAAAAAATTACATGGATTTTTACGTTAAAAATAAAGTCGTGCGCCGAGATCTAGATGGGCCCCTTTCTAGCTCCGCCCCTGCAAGTCAGTGTGATTGTCGAAAAATGTTTGTGACCTTATTACGGACCTTTCTAGCTCCGTAGTAATATTGGAAAAAACTGTTAAACTTCTCCTAGCAACTTTTCCTACGGTCGCTGTATTTTCGACGATAGCCACTCGTAGTGGTTGCTGGTGGCAGCAATAAAGTTAGGGTGAGCAATTGGTAGGGATTTGGGAGGGAAAATATAAATGAATTAAATAAAATTTAGGCAAATTTTTGAAAGAAGTAAAACTAGTGATATTATTATCTACTAAAAGTATAAAGCTAATATTTATACAGTACCATTTTTATTTCAAATACAATGGATAGTGAAGAGAATACTAATTTACTCACCCATGAAAAAAAGAGAAACCAAATAGTATTATTTTCGTTTTTCGCCTTTTTAGACTTATCAGCCAATTTTTTCACCAAATACGTAATTTTTGCTTTCCTGCGCTGAATTGTGTATTAAGCAGAAAAAGTAAGGTTGAGGTTACTGTAGTGGTTGCATTGGCTAAAGTTACTGTAGATGACCATTTTAGATATTTTTACATAAAAAATTTTCTTTATTTTAATAATAAAATATATTTTTTAAAAATATTTTTTTCTTAAATAAGCAGAATCAGTCAATGCTGCCACTTGAGTCAGAACTTCATAAATTTCAGCAGAATTAGCCAAATCACTTGACTTTCGTGTTATCAAAAGGGCTCTTCATTTATGTAGTTCAAAATTATTATTTTTCATTATATTTTACAGAGTTATGTGGTTAGTACTATTTCTTATTCTAAAACAATTCTCAAGTACATTATCTTAGAACAAAGCAAAAAACGACCAATAAGAACAAACTGTATGCTCTACTTAACTCCCCCACTTATGTCCCGCATCATATTCTTGTCTACAAGACTCCATCCAAAACTATGTCAATGTGTAGCTTTTTTATAATTTGTGTGTTAGTGTTTGTACTTAGACAGAAATATCTCTATATCACTCTTCAAGAACTCAAATTTGATCGCAGGTAGTTTTAAGGGGAAAAAATGTGTTTGGGATGGGCAAACATGTATTTACAGGAGTTGCGAACCGAGCCACGTAATACACATTTGACGATCTTAATTTAAAAAAAACAAACGGGGTGGGTGTCAAAAATTTAAGAATCGAATGAGTCTTAAAATTTGAACAAACATATATTGGATTGAAGTGTGTATAATATAATACTACATTATATTAATAAATCCAACTATATTTAAACGCCTATTTAAAATACTAAAACCCTAATTGGATGCCCTTCATATCCTTTCGTCTTAAACTAGGACTCCTAGTTGAAGAAACTCGTAAAGTTCTTATAAAGTTCCAGTGCCCGACCATATAAAGTCATAAACTTTTATCCTCAATTCTCCCTTCCAATTTTCAAGTACATTAGATTTTTTTCGTTTGATCTTTGTATAAGTAAGTCTTATTGGATGTAGTGTGACCTATTCATTGAGTTATTATTCTTCGCTTTATCCACGTTTCGAGATACGAAGTATGTAAAGCTTTAAATTGGTGTTATAACATATGCGTAGTTTTGTGTTACGGGCTCACCGAGTATATAATTTAGGGAACGTTCTCGAAATAGGACTAAAACAGCTTGAAAATTCTGAAATAGGACTGCCATGTTTTTTATTCCCAAAATAGGAGTAATTACTGCCAAGTTTGGAAAATACTGTCATGTTTGAAGTCTGGTACTACCAAAACATGACATTAATTAGTCATATTTTGGGAATAAAAACATGTCAGTCCTATTTTGGAATTTTCAAACCTTTTTAGTCCTATTTTAAGTAAATTCTCTATAATTTATAGGTCTGTTGTAGGACATTTTATTAACTAATTCAATATTTTATTTTACAGTTCTGTTTTGAATTTTTACAATAGTTAATTTGATTTTATTTAATTTGAGTGTGATATATTTACTATTTATTTTGCTAGTTTAGTCGTATTTGCTAGTTAATGGAAATAGAGATTTTTGGAATATTTTCGATTACACTGACTTAAGGAGTGTTTGGGTTTGCTTAAAAAAAGCGCTTTC